GCTTGTGGTTTATTTTTCATTAGAAAAATAAAATTATTTCTCAATTGATTTATATATATTTAATGTAGTTATATAGTGTAAGTTAAAAAATTAGTATAATATAACACAAGTAAGTCGCACAAATAAAAAGTATCATAATAAATATAATATATATATATATATTCTTATAAAAGGTATTTAAATTTTCAAACTACTTTTTCTCATTAATTTTAAATTTTAAGAAAAAATTAGCAAACACCCGTGTAATACACGGGTGTTGTACTAGTAATATAATAATTCATAATCATCAGGACCGAAAGAATTATAATACGTATGAACATTTTTAAAACAAAGGATTGTTTCGTCAAGAAACAATCATATATTATTAGAAACCTCATTGTACACAACATTATGAGCTTGGTTATTGGGTAACTCCTCATTATCATAAACTAATATCTTCAACCCTCTTCTATTAGTTACACGTGAAACAATAACATATAATTGACCGTGACTAAAAACAGGTTTCTTCAGGAATAGACCAACGTGCGATAAAAACTGTCATTGACTCTTGTTTATGGTCATGGCATGCAAAATCACAAGTGGAAACTGTCGTTGGAACTTAAATGAAATCCTAGTATCAGGTAGAGTGATATTCATCATAAGAATCAACACATTATCTCCAGCGTGATCTCTCGTCAATATCTTGCATTAGAGAACATAAGTAGAGAGTTTAGTCACAACCAATCGCGTCCCATTGCACAGTCCCATAGAATGGTCCATGTGGTGCAATTAGACGTGGCCAGGTGTCGGGTCCGGGCCCGGCCCGGCCCGGCCCACCGGGCCACGAGCCCTCAAACAATCGAACCGCGACCGGCCCGCTAGGAACGAAGGGTCGGTTCATAGAACCGGCCCGAACCGCCGGTTCACCGGCCCGGCGGTTCACGGGCCGGTACGACCCTTAAAAAAAGCAAAAAAAATGGCCCGGCACGGCCCGCCGTGACCCTTAACCGGACCGGATTGGCCGCGGTCCGGTTCTCGAACCCAGCACTATTCATGCCGGTACCGGTACCGGGCCGGGCCGGGCCGGTACCGGGTCACGGGTCGGGCCACGGGCCGGGCCGCCCGTGGCCATGTCTAGGTGCAACAACATTACTGGAGTTCCTACCTTCAGGTGCAACTCATGGTTGGGAATTCTAGAACACTTGATGCTATTTAAGAATTCTGGCGTGTGGAGATCTGCCAAGAAATCATTGCCAGAATCCGACTTAGAAGTACTGTCAGAGCTCAAGTCCATACGACCTTCAGAAGAATTCATACCGGACATGTATTGATTGATGGAGTCAACAACTTCCAATGTGGGAGCTAATATAGCTATATCCTTCAAATAACTCGGATCGTCAGTTGCATTCTTGAACATTGGATAGGTACTTTCTACAATCGTAGCAATTTAATCATTAGATGGATCCAGTCTTATATCATCTGGAATTTCGATCGCGGCACAACCATCATTTGATCCTCCTATAATACCATCTCCGATACTCGCAATCCAATCTGCAAATGCAGCCACCTCGTCATGCTCATCTGAATCGGAAATGCTCTGAAAATGCATGTTTTCCGTAAGCCGGAGAACAGTACAGTCTCTCCAAATGCTGGATGCATTAATAATGGCACTGACAATGTCCTGGCGACTCCCCTTTGGAATGACTGGAAGGATCTGTCGAAAATCTCCACCAAAGACAATCGGCTTGCCTCCAAAGGGCTTGCTTTTATTCGAAGGGTCTACTACTCCCATTACACCCTGTAGTGATGTTTGAACTGCCTCAAAGAAACTTTTGTGCATCATCGGCGCATCGTCCCATATGATTAGAGAGCATCTCATTATCAGCTCCGCAAGAGGATCTTGTCTGATTGATATCACAAGAAGAGTTTTCATGAATACTAATCGGTATTCGAAATTAAGAATGTGCAGTTCTTCCACCAGGTAACAAAAGTGATGCAATTCCACTCGATACCACATTTAAAACGATTTGACCCTTCGACCGCAACGCTGCTGACAAAGTTCTCCACAAGTATGTCTTCCTAACCATAACCGTACACAAAAAATACTCCACCAGTACCTGAATCAACAACGGACATAATTCTTGAATAAACTCATTTCTGTTCATCGGTCATTCTCCCAAGAAGTGCTTCGTGTTCCACAGCAAATGTCTTACCATCATAATTAAGCTCATCCAATATAAGGTGGTTTGAAGTGTTATGCATACTATCACTGTCCGGATAAGACATGGATGAATATTCACGAAGACTTGAGCTGCAAATTCGCATAAGAGTCTCAATTTCAGCAAGGGTGAGATTCTTGATAGCATCTTCACTGAGCCGCAAATCTAGAAGTAAAAAAATTCAATAATTTATAGAAAAAATGGTTATACAATGTAATATTTGATAGCTTGTATTTGTTATGTACAAATAAATGATCCACAAATATTGAACGAATAATTTGAATAGTATATAAAAAGAATAATTACCATCGTTATTGTTGACATACGTCATCAGGCCTACTCAAAGAACCAGATATCAACAATGATGCAAACATACGCCTAAGAGACTCTGCATATGCCCAATGACTTGTTTCGGTTATACAGTCTATATACTCTCTTTCATCATCTAACAATCCACGTTCGTAGCAGACATCTCTATAATACAAAATAACTTACAAACTGCGTGCGGTAGCAATTGTGAGATAGGAGAATAACTTATAGATTACAACAGAAAAAAAAAAAAGATTTTGTTTGATTTGAATTAGTTTTAAAGACTTTAAGGAAGGAAAACTCTTATTTAGTTTGACTAAAAATCTTTCCTCAATTCACACGTATCTTTTTTGTTTTTTATCACGTGATTTGTTTTCAGTATCTGTGAAAATTGTTAAAACAAAGTACGTAGCTCGTTGGAGTTTAAAACTGTTTATAGAATTTGGGTATTAATATTGTTCATAGGTCTCTGTATTATAAAGATCACATTATTTGGATCACAGGGTTATATGTTTTTTATTAGTTCATAGTTTTTTTTTTTTTTTTTTTTTTTTTTTTTTTTTTTTTTTTAAGATAACAGGATTATAAGTTTTTCATTACTTCATAGTTTTCTGAATTGTGTTTCAAATTATTTGGAAGTCGAAAATGTTAATAGTTGATGATCTTACATAGATTTTGTTTTTTATTTGTTCAATTAATTGATGTATCTCACTGGATAAATGCCGAATAAATATGTGAAGAGTTGCATGATATTCGAATTCTTAGCATGGTGGGATTCTTTTCAATAATTTAGCAACTTACTTATTACACACTAAGAAAATATTGTACAGATTTTTTCGATGAATGTTGTGAATCAGTTTTAAAAAACAATGTTTTTTAGTTAATTTCGTATTCTTTTTTATGTAAAATCCGATATAAAAACAATGTTTTAGATGTAAAAAAAATTTCGATATATTTGCACGGGAAAGTTTAAACAAAAAGCCAAGCAGATTTGTTGTTGCAAGTTTGATTTAATTTTGCAAGCCAGAATTTAGGAAAAAAAATCAGATTTAGCAGATTTTTTGCTGAAAAAAAAAATCAGATTTAGATGTAAAACAAAAATTTCGATATATTTGCCCGGGAAAGTTGCAATTAAAAGCGAACCAGATTTGTGATTTAATTTTGCAAGCAAGAATTTATGAAAGAATGTAATTAGAGATATCCGGTTTTACATGCTTATCCAACAATTGTCCAAGAATTTCTATAATTAGGATATAATTAATATTATGGCGGGAAAAACTTGCTAAATATATAAAAAGGTTAATCTTTTTATATAATGATAGATTCGAAATTTTGGAAGAGAATGGAGGGAAAATTTTACTCCAAAAACATATTTCCCCCGCTCTGCAAATTCTCAAAATTTAGGAGATGTTTCAATGGAAAGAAAGATAACAAAATCCCAAATGTGTGTATATAATTACTACTCTTTAACAAAAAAAAAAAAAGTTTAAATTCAATAATATAAGTAAATTTTAAAACAAAATATTGTTTATTATGAAACTTTAATTAATACACAACTTTATGCGATAATTATGAGACAATTGTGCAAATGGCATTGTAGAAAAGTTAAAAAATGTTAAGGCATTCGCATAACCTTCACGCTTTATAGGCTGAATATGCGACAATTATGTTATTGATATGGGTCAGTTAAAAAAGAGTCATTCGCATAACCTTCGTATTATTCAAGGTGAAAAAGTTAAATTATTATCTAATAAAATGAAAAACTTGTGTTTGTATATAATAAAAACTCAATTCGTATTCAAAATCTAATTCAATTTTAACTCAATTACAATATCTCCAATATTATCAATATAATTAAATAATATCAACTAATCATTCTTTATATCATATTAATTTTAATCTATTATTTATTCACTCGTATAATTTAAACTAATATCACTTCACATCATTTATCTCTTACTCTTACATCAAATCAATTTTATTTATTATATTTTTAATATAAAAACAAAATTTCATCAACAACAAACCATACAAATTTTGTTTTAAATGAATTATAGTTAACTAAAAAAATCACGTGGAATGGTTATATTTCTACAAACATGCCGTAAATATATATTTGGACTAAAATACACTTTGTCTACCTAATTATTCAGAATTTTACACTTCTCTACAAAACTTTTTTTTTACTTCGACTACCTAACTTTCATTTTTGTACACTTTCCCATTTTTTGTCACCGTCGGTCATATGAGGCAATAAGACACAAAAGCCAGCAAACTACAAAAATAAAAGTTAAGTAGACAAAATCTTTAAAAAATAAAAATTAAAAATTATAGGCAAAGTGTATATTTCCGGATAGTTAGGTAGACAAAGTGTAATTTTTTCTATATTTTCAAAAAAAAAATTTGTCCATTTTCAAATTATAAAGTACAAATTAGCCCGATAAATATCAATTAGACGCGCTGAGAAGAGAAAAATTATCAAGGATTACAGTCATGGGGGGAAGGAGAGGGCGAAAGAAGTCCCATCTCAAAATGCCCAAGGGCAAGAAGGACAACAACCCGGCGGCGAGCGGTTCGTCCCCACCGCCGCCGCCTCCGCCATGGATCGAACTCCCCCGAGACGTGACGGCGAATATTCTGCGACGGCTCGCCCCGGTGGATATACTGGAAAATGCTCGGGGAGTGTGCACCACCTGGCGGAGCGTGTGCCGCGAGCCCTCGCTGTGGCGCGTCATCGACCTGAAAACTTGCGACGACAACCCCAGAAGATTATTCGGTCCCGACGACACGTGCCGTCTTGCGGTGGACCTCAGCCAGGGGGAGCTGATCGAGATTAACATCGGACATTTTGGCACCGACGATTTGCTGCTCTACGTTTCCGTTCGGTAAGTGTACCTCAAACGGTGATCTTATACTCTTAAAAAATGTTGTTTTTTGTTGTGCATTTTCTATTTGTAACCCTAGCTCAGTTGTTCGTTTGTGAAATGGTGTTTGGGGAACTGTACTGAATTGGTTATAACTTATAACTGCTGATTGTGAATTTGTAACCCTAATTTTGATGTTCTTCAACAGTTCAGAGGGTTAACAGGAAAGCTTCTGACAAAAAAATTAGTCAGCAATAGCGAATTATATGATCTGATATGGGAAGGATGTCTGTTCACTTTGTGTGTGCTCATAGTGTGACATTTTGTAATTTGGATTGAGGGGAAGGGAGCTCATTTTCGGCCATTTCTGTAGAAGTTTTTGTGGTTTCGGTTGTTGGTCTTACATTACCCAATATGGGTATCTATACTATACTCGTTGAGGCTGTAAACTAATTGAATTGAATCACAATGTTTTTTTCAAAAATTCAAAACTTTAACGGCCAGTGTTCAAGCACATTGTTCAGCAAGTCTGTATTTGCTATTCTCGCTTGCCAATGCTTTGTCACATGGTAATGAGTCGTGTTTATTTTGGGCCACTTTTCGTATGATACTGAATAGATGGCCAGATTCCAGAGGCTTATTCTGGGGATGATTATTGCATGCCACAAAGTAAGAAGATCCATGCTAAATAAAAAAAATGTCATTGCCTGTATGAGTTCATTTTCATTTTGCATATGAGCACACAACACCTACATTTTATTTTAAGAGTTTGTGCTAGTTTTCATAAACCAGACAAATTTCTATAGTCTTGATCATCCACATCCTGACAAATTTCCACTTTTAAAACAACAGATCGAGCAATCTCAAACGCCTCACACTCGCGCGTTGCGATTGCATATCGGGCCTAGGTCTGACCAGAGCCGTTAAGAACTTTCCGGAACTAGAAGAGCTTCACCTCGTTTTCATGCCGGGAATCAGTGCTTTGGACATTGAGTCCATCGGCATCTCTTGCCCTAACTTGAAATCTTTCACGTTCAACAACCGTGCATTCAGGTTCCCTCTTGTCGAAACAGACGATAGTTATGCCATGACAATCGCGAAGAACATGCCTAATTTGCAGCACCTTCGACTTTTCGGCAACCGGTTGACCAGTCAAGGGCTCGAAGCCATTCTTGATGGGTGCCCCCGTTTGGAGTCCCTCGACCTAAGGCAGTGCTTTATGATAATGGCTGACTTTCAAGGTGATCTGGGGAAAAAGTGTGTTGACCGGATTAAGCACGTGAGGGGGCCTTCCGATTCGACTGCAGACTACGAGTGGGATGCCCGGATTTTCGATGACGAGGATGATGTGTTTGATGATGATTATGATGATATCTACTACTCTGATGACTATTATGAGGATTATGGGGATTATGGATTTTACGAGGATTATGATGACTACACGAACCCTTTCAATGACTTGCCGTTTCCGGCTAATCAGGTGTGGTATATGGATGACTTCGGGGACTATATCTGAGCTATGGATTTTGTGGGAGATGATTGATTTAAGTTTGCTGCTATTGTCTGGTAGTGACTGACCAGATGTTTGGCTATTTATAGTTTAAAGTTTAATCTATGTGAGACTAAAACTTGTGTGAATGTTCGTGTAATTCATGGCTTGATTCTGATTTTTATCATCCATTTGCATATGGGGCTATGTGGTTTATGTTTCGGCCCAAAGCTGTAACCTTTTGTGCTTGAGCCCAACTCAGTTATTGTTTTATGAACTCCAGGTCAAGTCGTTCATGGGCTGTCAACTTTTGTATGTCAGCCCATGTTTGAGGTAGAAGTAATGAAGTTTGAGTAAAAAAAATAAAAAAAAAAAAGAAAGAAAAAGAGTAATGAAGTTTGAGTCATAATGGAAATTCGTTTCTTAACGCGCCAAACAGAGCTCGTTCAAGAGCTTTTTTTTTTTTTTTAATCATGTATAAAATTTTTATGTGTTTTCAAATGAGAAATAATTGAGCCAAATTGGTATAGTAAATTCATCATTCAAGATTATAAGATCGTAAATAAAATCGGTTTTGATTGAATTTATTGGCTAAAATAAATTGATTGTGAATGAAGCTGATTGAACGAAGGATTAAGTGAAATTTTGAAATTTGTACTTAAACCATTTTCAAAATGTAATTATTTTAGTTAACGTCGTATAAAAAGTAGACTAGTTCTGAAAAATAATAAATAGTTAATAATATGTAAATGAATGAACTTTATATTAAAATTGATGTAACATATGAAAATAATTAATTTATATTATTTTATTACATTAATAAATGAATTAAACTTCATATTTATAATTAATCGGTTAAATGAAAACCAAACTTCTATATATAACAAGTAAATTTATCATATTCTACGATTACTTACATAACACTAATAATAGGTTAGGTTTATTTGTTGTGTATATAAAGTTGACTCTACTATGAAGTCAACTGTTCGTAGCAAAACCAAAAAACTAACCGGTTAAATTTACTAATATTTGGTGCTGGATTTGAGAGTAACACCATAATTAAGTACAGTAATTAATGCTTTGGGTAATAATTTGTCAAACAAAAGCCCAAAACCCAATGCTTGGTGATTACAACAGGCCACGTAAGGCTATATCCTCTCTAGCTCAGATAGGCACAAGTTACCATGCACGTGGTACCCACGTGACGATATCTGTTCCCATCGGTGAAAAAGGGCCACAAATTTTTTTTTTACCGTCTCCATTCTCCAATTCTCTTTTAACGAGGAAAAAAGAGTTACTATTTTTTTTTTTTAACTTTGGCACAAAATTCGAAACACGCAGTAAAAAAAGCTTCAGCCTTTTTGAGCTTATTAACGTACTCCTATTGTTTAGATACTCATTAATAAATGAGTGATGAAATATTTACAATTTATTCTTTTTTTTTTCGAGGAAATTATTTTTAAGGAGTGACAAAATTATTTTTAATTTGATTATGAATACAAAACAAGTTTGAATATTTGATTTATAGCAAAATTGATTAGTTGAAATTGGATAAGGTATTAAAATTTATATTAATTATCATCCCTAAAACAATGAAATTTGATAAGGTCTAGCTTTAGTGGCTCCGGTCCATGACGGTCATCGGTTCAAGGATGTGGCCACCTCCTCGTTCGATATCCGGTTAGGGTTCGAGCTTGTAGGTACCTGCAAAGGGATACCAGAGGCTTTTCGGCATAAAAATCCTCGGAAGTTTAAGTTAGTATGGGGAGACGGAAGGAGAAGATGAATAGTGTGAGTATTATGATTGTTGAGTAATAAATGTGATTTAATCTGTTGCAGTTAATGTTCTCGCTATTTATAGACGTTTATCTGTCGTACAGATGTTCTCCAGCTTAGGGTTGGGCGTGGAGTCAAACCGATGGGGTCGAGTGTGATCGATCTGACTCACTGTGGGATTGGTCCTAGGAATATGACCGGTGTGAGGTTTGATGTATGAGGCTCGGTGTGTGAGGCTCTAAGAGCATGTTTGTTTATAGAAATTTTTTGTTTTGTTTAGATTTTTTGGTTTGATTTGGTTAATTTTGGAAAAGGTGGTATGGTTAGTTGTTAGTGGGTATATTAAAATAATAATTAAAGTAAAATAATTAAAATAATTTGATATAAAAGTAGGAGAGAGATAGTTTGATGTGATGATTAGTTAAAATAATGTGAGTGGATAAATAGTGAATTAAGGTTGATGTGGTGTGTATGAATGATTGATTGATATTATTTAATTATA